TGAGACAAATCGAGCTCTGTGAAAGATGACCAACATCCAAACATTAGAGGATCATTTCTCTAACACGGAGAACAGATGGAAGAAGGTCAGTGCTGCTGGTTTCAGAGTTTCTCCATCATAGCAGAACATCAGTGATGCTTTTCCCCAATCAAATTAGCCTTTCTCGTTGTTTTATACACACATACACACTGCTGTTGTTTCTACACTAATAAAGGGATTTGTTACTTCATTGATACACAACTCACAGCTCACAACTGTCGTGATCGGGCTGTGTCCAGGCAGGAATTGGACCCAAACGCAAACTCACTGGAAAAAGGACTGAACTCAAAATGGCAGCTTTTATTGCTGAACAGAAAACTCCACAAAACCTAAACTGGGAAGAATCTAACAAAACACACACAGCATGAGGAAGATCACGGCACTGTAGTAATCAATCAATCGATCAATCAATCGATCGATCAATCTTTATTTATAAAGCACTTTTTGTACAGAAATGCAGCACAAAGTGCTTTACATGGTTAAAAGCAGCATTAGTCATTGGTCTTTTGGGTTTGAGAAAGTTGATTCGAGCTTTCATAATCCAAAGATAAAATATTTAATTGATTGCTTTCAATCGTTGCTCGTATCGATATTCTCTGTTTTACAGATAATTAATTGTAGCAATAAAATTCTATTTATAGGATAAATAACTTCTTGCTTAAAAATAAAAATAATAAAAACATTCACAAAATGATCATATTAACATTTATAATATGTATTTATAAAAAAAAATATAAACTATTTTATACAGATAAAATAATGTGTGTTTCTGAGCAGCTGTCAGTTCAGATGATCTTTTTTCTCAGTTCCTCTCCAGCTGTGTGAGGTTTTTGTACAGCGTTGTATCACTGTGTGAACGGCCAGCTATTACACTGCTGACAGTAATAAACTCCTGCATCTTCAGCCTGAACTCTGCTGATAGTCAGAGTGTAGTCAGTCCCAGATCCACTTCCACTGAAACGATCAGAAACTCCAGACTGACGGTTTGTAGCATGATAAATTAAGAGTTTGGGAGATTCTCCGTCCTTTTGAAGGTACCAGTGGAGGTTGTTGCTAACACTTGAACTGGCTTTACATCTGACAGAGACAGTCTGTCCAAGAACAACAGACTGAGCTTTAGGAGTCTGAGTCAGGACTTTTTCTCCTGATAAACCTGAAAACATGAAAAAGTGGAGAAAAGTTATTGAGATGATGAACATCCAAACATTCGAGGATCATTTCTCTAACATGGAGAACAGATGGAAGAAGGTCAGTGCTGCTGGTTTCAGAGTTTCTCCATCATAGCAGAACATCATTGTGGTGAACCTGGCTGCATGCTGAAGCAAAGTTTTCACAGAGCGTCTCACCCTGAACAAGGAGCCCCAGGGTGGCCAGCAGTAGAGTCAGTGACATCATCATTGTGCTGCTGGTGTGTGAGTGGCTCTGAAAGGCCTGGACAGCCACTGATCAACACTGGCCTCTTAACAGCTGTGAGCAGAGAGGCAGGACACATATGCAAACACACAGAGTCAGTCAGCTGCAGCTGTCCTGAGCTGAATAATTAAATCATTCATGACATCTAGTGGAGAGATAAATTTGAATAAAAAAAATCAAATGGAAAATGTGAAATAATTCAAATATGAATTCTAATACAAATAAATATAGACATGCATGGATTTAAGACGGGCCTTAAGTTTGAACAAAGACTGAGACTCAACAATGTTAAATCAAAAGCTGTAAGATGGACTGGAAGAGTTCATGGAGTCAGGGGCAATCTTTTGAGACAGACTCAGGTTTCTGAACATTTTGCCTTGAACATCCTGTTTTTGCTGATTAAAATTTCTGCAACAAAAGGCAGTTTGCTTGTGTTTGAGATTTAGATCCTACCACATTTCTTTGCCATGTTTATGTCTCTTCAGGTTGAATCCTTTCCCCCCTATTGCTATTTTCTATCAATGATTGCAACTTCTTCTGTTTAACAGTCATATATATAAATCATATCCTCCAATGAGTGCGGCCTGTGTGCCAAAATAAATACTATGCTTTTCAGTTCTTCAACGGGGCTTAACACTTTTACCACGTTTGGCTGGACTCCAAATGTGAATTTAAAGTAAAAGATGGGAGTGATCTGTTTACTGTTCATGTTCTGTCATATATGGCAACAAACATCCACGGATACATCAGTAAGATGGCCCCAACCGACCCCGTGCTCAGCAGTGAATACCTCAGGCAGCAGAAACCCAAGAAAGAAGACGAAGAGGAGGCACCATCATGGAAGGACATATATATATGCAGATCCCGGGAACAACATCGGAGATCTCTGTCCAGAAGAGCGCAGTCCTGGGAACAGCTAAGATACTGCGCAGGACCCTCAAGCTCCCAGGCCTCTGGTAGAGGACCCGAGCTTGAAGGATAAACCGGCCGCAGGGGCGTGCTGGGTGTTATATATATATATATATATATATATATATATATATGTATGTATGTATATGTATATATGTATGTATATGTATATATGTATGTATATGTATATATATATGTATATATATTAGGGGTGAAACGATACTCCTATCGATATTGAACCTGTCGATACAGTGCTTTCGGTTCGGTACGCATATGTATCGAACAATACAACATTTGTAATTTATTTTATCAACTTTCCTTCTGACGATGCTGTCTGTGTTGAGCGCTCAGTGAATCTGCGTTTGACTACTCCGCCTAGGCTGCACTGTCGAGAGCAGATCCACTGAGCGCTCAACACAGACAGCATCGTCAGAAGGAAGAGCGCAGGGCAAGCTAGCGAGACAGAAGTTAAGCTCTCCTTGCAACATGGACCTCCCCGACCCTCATTCAGATCTGGCGTTTGGAATTATTTTGGTTTTCATGTGACATATGACCCTGAAGGTAAGCGCGTCATGGACTAAAGTAAAACAGTATGTTGGATGTGCCATGCAATGCTCAATTACATGGGTGGGAACTAGTGTGTTAGCGCAGTTAGCTCGTTAACGTGTTGGCCGTCTAGCCCCATGCACGGGGCGATCGGCGGTAGCTCGTTAACGGAGATTTGCCGTGTTGTGGCGTTAAGGTTATTTCAACGAGATTAACCTGAAAGCACTAGTGGGAACACGACGAATATGACTGCACATTTACGCCGACATCATCCTAGTGCAAAGACAAGTGGAAGCAGAAAAAAAACAAGCAAGCATGCTACTAACTTTAGCCGAGTCATTTAGACAGCTGTTTAATATGCTGCTGAGAATATAGCCCAGAAGAAGCCTATAGTATACCTTTTATTTTGGAAAGAGCCATTTCTCTGTAATAAACTCTCTTTTCCAAAGATGAGTGATTCCTCAATCAGATACAGGGCTTGCAATATCGCTAGCCCGACGTCCCGGAGCTAGCGATTTTTTCAGTCGGGCTACCAAAATCTATCTCTGCCCTGCCCGTCGGGCTATTGTAGGAAGGAAAAATATATGTCAATGCTTTTGCATTCTTTCAGAAATGTAGCTGGGTAATTATGGCATGGGCATCGGTGAGCCACTGTCAATATGTGACATATTGAAGTCGCGTTTGAATTTGCGCTTGTTTTTTTGCTTTCACTTTGCAATCGCGCGAACTGTGTATAGAGAGCGACAGCACTGATCTGTGAGTGATGATAATTTGTGCACCAATTCCTCTGACATCGTCTTATTAATCGTTAGCTTACTATGCAAACATGACAAGTGAAATCTCCCGCAGCTTAAACATGTGAGAGGTTGATCGCGCAGAGAATCGCTGAGCTTATGTGAGTGCGTGTGTAAAAGCAGCAGGATTTATATTTGACTACGATGACCTTCACAGACAGATATATATTTTAGTTCTGCTGAGCCAAATAAGACAGGTCAGGGTGAAGAAGTGACAGCCAAAGAAAAGCTTACCACAAAACGGAGAAGTTATGACAAATCAGGCAAAAAGAAAGTGCAGCTTTATGGTTTCATGGACAAAAGAATTTCTGTGGCTGCAATATGACGAGCTAAATAACCAGGGCTGCACATAAGTGGTCCGCAGGTGAGCATTCGCTGTCAAAATAAAAAACACGCACAAGGGTTAGGGTTAAATTTAAAAACTGTACTTTTGAGTTAAAATATATATTTATAATTTTAATAAATGACAAATTAAAAAGGCATGAACATTTTTTTGTATCGAAAAAATATCGAACCGTGACACCAAAGTATCGAACCGAACCGAACCGTGAATTTTGTGTATCGTTGCACCCCTAATATATATGTATATATTGTACTATTCTTAGCTAGCGTATTGTCTGTCATGTTAATGTTGGTTTATAATGGAGCATTGTAAGCAAAAATAATTTCCCCAGGGATCAATAAAGTATTCTGATTCTCTCTCTCACCTGCTTGGGAATTAAAAAGTGTTGGCTACTGCTCATCGTGTCTGCAGACTTTGTTAATTAAATTTCCATGACATTATTCTGCAGTGACAAAGTGAGATATGTCAAAACAAAGGAGCAAAAACTGAAAAAGTGTCTTTTTACATTGTTGATTCAACATTGAATATAAAAGCTTCAGTGCTCTTCGGCACTGCTTCTCCAGTTTTTTAACTATTATGATATGATTAGGATTATGTCCCCTCATTCGGTATCAATGATGGTGATGGTACAGCAGGATAAAGGTGAGCTCTAACACATGTGTTCAAATTCACCCAACTTTCACATCCCCTCACTGAAGGGGTCAAGATTTTGTTAATTTGTTACCTGTCTATAAATTCTACAGGGTTCATGTGTGTCACATGCCAAATATGCTGTAAAAGCTCTTTTTAAACAACTCCTGTTGGAGTCAGATCATTTCCATAGAGAGGCACTTTGCATCAGCAGCACCATGCTCCAGTGCTCTGGGAGAGTTTATAGTCCTGAGAGTTGAACACTGGATGACTGACAGCTGTCCTTCATCACAACAGAAGCCACAGAAATCCTCCTCATCAAAAACATGACTTTGATCTGCGTCCTCATCTGGACTCTCCTCTGCTGCTGCTTCACAGGTAAAGTCCAGAGAATCAAACTCCTCTCCTCTATCAACATCTGTCCCTCTGAAATGAAGCCCACAAAACCATGAAGCTGCTTTATGTTTTTGTCTCTGTGTCCTCAGAGTCCAGAGGACAGATCACAGTGACTCAGCCTGGAGCAGTGAGCTCTGCTGTGGGAGGATCTGTGAGCATCAAGTGTAGGACCAGTCAGAATGTTTATGTTTGGAGCATCTATCATTATTTAGCCTGGTACCAACAGAAAGATGGAGACGTTCCCAAACTGCTCATTAAGCTTGCTCATGAGAGAATATCAGGGATTCCAGCTCGTTTTACAGGCAGTGGATCAAACTCTGACTTCACTCTGACCATCAGTGGAGTCCAGGCTGAAGATGCAGCAGTTTATTACTGTCAGAGTTATCACTATATCAACAGTCAGCGGGTGTTCACACAGTGAAAAACAGTCGTACAAAAACCTCCCTCAGTCAGACTGAACAGAAACTGAAGTGACTGCTGCAGCTGGAAGATACTGCAGAGACTGATACAGTTCACTGAGGACACACACACACACACACACACACACACACACACACACGCACACACACACACATTTGCTTCCAATCTAAAAATAGTTTATTTTTCTCTTTTCCCTAAAAATTAAGTAAAAATCAGTCAACATGTTCAACAAGTCGAATAGAGAAAACTCATTGTGACCTTTGACCTCCATTCCATACTAGAACCACCATAATATCATCTATGATTTGTTAAATTTTAACAGTTATCAGTAAAATAAGACCTTCATGTTAAAATATATGAAAATAAACTCAATAAATATCATACAGCTCGACATTAAAAATAAAGTTTAATTTAAATAATCTAAACATAAATTTGAGGCTCAAAAACAAACACTCTGTTTACACAGTGAAAAACTGTCGTACAAAAACCTCTCAGCTGAAGAGGAACTGATCTGAAGCAACAGCTGCAGAACAAACTACAAGACCTGGAGGAACGATTACTTTAATATTTACTGTGGAATTTCATTTGTGTGCACTCACAGTTTAACATTCATAAATTTATTGAATACGTTGTTAGTAACATGAAAAAAAAACTGAACACTGGCTCCAGATGTTCAACACATTAACATTATTTTTAGATGACTGATGTTCTCTGCAGCCCATCAGTCTGACTCATTCTTAGTTTCTACATTTATAACAATAAGTTCAGATGAAAAGACGTAGCTGGAAGGTCCACAAAGAAAAAAATGTTGTTTTTGCTCATTAAAGATTTTTATATTAATCCAAGTTGTAAAATATAACAAGCTGTCATTAAAAATACAAATGCTGTTGTCAGTGTTTCTGCACTGATGAGCAGCTCTTTTCTATTTGTAAGCTGTTAAATATTAAACTGATCCTTCTGTGGAGCTCAGCTGCAGTCCTTCATCACACAAATCCAGAAAATCATTGTAGTCACATCACAACTAGTGTCTATAATATTCTAATATTCTGCTGATTAACAAATCAAGCAGGCTGTTATAACAGTGTTTGTAGGGGATGTGTTCAGTGAAGATTTAGCCTCATTTGGATATTTCCAGCACAAACGAATCACTGTTACTGTTGTAAAAACTTAAAGTTATTTAGTCAGTTTCCAAAGTATTAATGTAGACAGAACAAAGAACTAAAATGTTTCTCTTTAAAATAATATCTTACTAATGCTTAAAAGTGTGACATTAATATAGAGTATATATATAAGTCCTACCTAAATCTGAAACCAATGAAAATAAGATGTGATCATCATCCTGACAGACCGTGGTCTTTGTCTTGTGTTAAGAGGTTTAGTGAAGTGAGTTTCTCTCATTTTGCTGTGAACACTAGAAGAGATTAACTTCTATATAAGCTGATTAAAGCAGACCTGTAGTCTCTCATCTGCCTGCATTCCTGTGTTTGTTCTGTTAGTCTGTTCTTAACATCATGTCCACTTCAAGCTCAATTCTGTCGTCATTATTTGAGTCCAGTTATTGTCTCGCCGCCTTCTGTGAGTTACTCAGCCTCTGTTTTGTGTGCTTTAACTCTCAGACTCCTGATCTCATCCTGACAATTAGAGATCCTCAGCTAAGTCTCCACCTGCTTCCTCTCTGCCACCACCAGCTTCTAGACTCTTCTCTGCTTTGTTGCCTCGTCAGAGTTTCACTGCCAAATAGTTCATTAATCAAACTTCAGTAAATCTTCACTTGAACTTGATTTAAATGATCTCTGTTTAATCATACAGATGACACCCTGCTCTTTAATTTTACTTATTAGGTTTTAGATCAGATTAAAATGTAGATCATGAAACAGCTTTGAGACTAGAAATTATGAAGAGCACACAGATAATCTATGGTTGACATGACCTCAACATCTTATAGAGAAATATTTAATATGTGGATTAAAAAATATATTTAACCATTTTCACTGCACATTACACTTGATGTGTCTGTTTACATTTTTATTTTGGTCTGGTTTAATAAATATTACAAAATCTTAATTTTTTAATGTGCATTTATTAAACTCACAGAGTCAAAGAACATGTTTTCTCGGTACGTTTTTATTCTTTTAAGAGTTTGAAATATCAGCTTTACAACAGACACAAAAGGATGAAACTAGAGGAGATTGTTGCTCTGATTGTTGTCATTATGAGATGAAAACATGACTGTTTGATGAGTTTATTTTTTAAATCTGCAAACGCAAAGAAACAAAGAGACAGAAGAAAATCAACATCAAAGACTCAGTGATTGACATCAGGACTGGGAACACTGGTCTCTCCTCAGTATCTCTGAGACCAGAGACTGGGAGCCCTGGGTGGCCTCACAGGTCACAGAGCCCACCTTCCCCCACTGGTCTGCAGTGAGCGTCAGGGTGCTGCTCCAGCTGTAGAGGCCGTCATTCTGCAGCACTCCAGGAGTCCTGCTCTCCTCCCCTCTGATGCTGCTGCTGCCACTGCTGTCGCTCGTCTTCCAGGACAGACTCCAGTCTGAGGGGAAGCCCTTGTTGGCCACACACATGAGCGTGGCCTTCCCCTGCTCCAGCTCCTTGTTGGAGGGACCCAGCACCTTCAGGGCGGGGCGGGTATCACCTAGGAAACACCAATCAGCTTAGAGGACAGGAACCACAATTTGAATTTCTCCGTTAAGAAGTTTCTGTCAGGTGTTTTTTCTGCTCCACCAGTCATTCACTCACACATTGTTTCACTTCCCTTTAAGAAACCTCTCATGCATATCAGCACAGAGAGAATCATCACACAGTTTGAGCTGAAATATGTTCAAACTACACTGGAAATAAAAGAAGCAGATGTGGAAACATTTACAGCAGAAGTTTGTCTTTAAAATGATTAGAAGTCTAAATCATGGATGACTGAAGAAATGAGTGGACACAAGCACAGAGCAGCTACTCATTCATATAGATTTGAAATGTTATTGAACAGCTCACATGATTTCAAACTAAATCTGAAACATCTGACACAATAAAAACATCAGAAAGCAAACTTTAACTCATCCAAACAGCAGCTGATGTGGTGGAAATTTACAAACTAATCATAAGAGGATGAAGTTTACTCTTGTCTACATATATTTTACTGTCCAAATCTGTCCAGGTTAAGTTAAGTTCAACCCCAAACCATTCTTCAAAAAATACTTATATTCAATAACATGTGAGCTGATAGATCCAAGTCCCTGTGTGAGTCAGTCAGATGATTTCCATAGAGAGGCACTTTGCATCAGCAGCACCATGCTCCAGTGCTCTGGGAGAGTTTATAGTCCTGAGAGTTGAACACTGGATGACTGACAGCTGTCCTTCATCACAACAGAAGCCACAGAAATCCTCCTCATCAAAAACATGACTTTGATCTGCGTCCTCATCTGGACTCTCCTCTGCTGCTGCTTCACAGGTAAAGTCCAGAGAATCAAACTCCTCTCCTCTATCAACATCTGTCCCTCTGAAATGAAGCCCACAAAACCATGAAGCTGCTTTATGTTTTTGTCTCTGTGTCCTCAGAGTCCAGAGGACAGATCACAGTGACTCAGCCTGGAGCAGTGAGCTCTGCTGTGGGAGGAACTGTGAGCATCAAGTGTCGGACCAGTCAGAATGTTCATTATTATTCCACCGTATCCAGCCGCCACCACTATTTAGCCTGGTACCAACAGAAAGATGGAGGAGTTCCTAAACGTCTCATTTACCTTGCTAGCAGTCGAGAATCAGGGGTTCCAGCTCGTTTTACAGGCAGTGGATCAAACTCTGACTTCACTCTGACCATCAGTGGAGTCCAGGCTGAAGATGCAGCAGTTTATTACTGTCAGAGTTTTCACTGGCTGAACAGTCAAGGTGTGTTGACACAGTGAAAAACAGTCGTACAAAAACCTCCCTCAGTCAGACTGAACAGAAAATGAACTGAGTGCTGCAGCTGGAAGATACTGCAGAGACTGATACAGTTCACTGAGGACACACACACACACACACACACACACAGGTCTATATGGTATGGAGGGACTATACTACGTCAATCCGCCCGGTGGTGGTTTAAGTGGACTACCCTTTTCAAAGGACTTAGAGCCAAGGGAGCGAGGTTAAAGTGTTCGAAAAAATCTGAAAAAAGTTTGGGTCACTTCAGACCTCATACACTCCCTATAGTAGTCTAGATACACTGATACACACCAACCAGACTCTATTGTGTTTTCTGGAGACATTGTCCACTTGACAACGATGTGTTTTATGAGGTCCAAAAAAAACAATATTGGGTCTTTAAAGGGACAATGATGTAATATTTAAATAGCTCATCATTACCATGAATACACATCTGACAGGACACAGGATTACTGGAACATCATTTTATTAGTGTTCTTGGATCTGAACATTAATTTTAACCATAAATAAAAAAGAAATCTATGGACAAAAATGCCCACGCTTCCCACAGAAATATAAAAATATAGAAAACAGAAAAATTAAAAACATTTAAAATGAACTTTAATAGTTTAAAGGTAAATATTAAGGGGAGAAAATATGCATTTATAATTTTTTATTCTAAATATAACCCGTCAAACAAAAACCTAAATAAATTAAATGTAAAAATTATGAAATACAAACTACTTCTGTATTTAACATGAACTTTTTTCTTTAAACAGAACATCAGTGTTAACAACAATTGGCAATCTGACCAAGATGTAAAACCACATCTGGCTAAACAGTTATTTTAGTTCATTTTTTTCCTGCCTTTTTGCAGTTAATCCTCTGTTTCTTACAAAATCTCTTATGTTTTGAACTGTTCTTCCTGCCAACACCGGATCTTCTACCAATTTGCAATGACTGCATTCATTTTTGGTGGCTAGTTTCCCTTCGTTTATGTGGTCTTTAAAATGCCTCATCACTGCAGCAACCTCAGCCTTGGACCACATGTTTTTGGGAGCTCTTCGGGAATTG